TGCACCTTGCCATCAAGCCTTACAGCTTTACACTGTTCATTATTGTAACTGTGTATGTGTGTGTGTGTTTGTGAGCAAACAGACCAGTGTGTGTGTAGGTCAAGTTGTAGATCCTGCGCTGTCACTGTGGAAATGTCAGGCCATTGCTCCAGTTAGTGCAGCTCTTGTCAGTGAGAGCACACTCGTTCTGCTTTGCTAACTCTGCTAATGAAAAAAAAACAAGAAAGAAAAGGACTGTGGTTGATTTAAAAAAAAAATCTAATATGTTATTAAATGGTTAATAAACCAGATTTAGTTTCCTAATCTTTGATTTAAGTCTTTGAGCTACAGATCTGTGGCAAGGCATAAAAACAAGGATTTAATTTAAGAGCACTGCGTAATAAGAGGTTTCATATCCCAGTAGTAGTGTAGGATTGCCTTAGTGGAAATAATTATAACTATGTTCAGATGGGCAATAGTACAATACAGTTGGGGAAATGCTTCTCATTCATTCAATTTGACTATTGCGTTGGCACAGCAGGCTTGGTGGCAAAGAATGAAATGCATGCATATAAAGTTCAACTTGAACCAACTTTTGCTGCAACAAAATGTACGGTTACTCATATTGGCAAATGCAAGAAAAGCGTGTTTCTACTGCTTACATGGCGATGACCAAGACTGAGGGTAGAATGATTTTGAGGTTTATCCAGTAACTTTCCAGAACTGTAATATCCTGTCTCTATAGTGAAAGTCTTTGCTGTGTTTTGGCATCTGATAAGCCTTAAAAAACAAGGATACATTCATTAAGCTAAACTTCCTTTACACCTAAAGCTCCCACTTGCATTTTTATATAAAGAATCTTGTCCCACTATACCAAGATATTGATAATTCAGTACTATGCAGTTCATATATTGACATTAATCTCTACAGAGGCTACAGAGTTCACAGCAAACACCCACCATCTACCCCACACAAATGTTTATTATTCTTAGAAGAAATGCAGTATAAACACACAGCAGAGCAGGCAGTGGGTGTCCTAGTTATTACCGCCCATTTACAGCCAAAGCGGCTCTATTATTAGACTGCACTGGACTGTCATCAGGTATCTTCAAAGGTTGCTACATAAATCACATGTGACTGTTTTTGTTCCTGCTGCGCTGTGATCTGCGAGGGTCTGGGACACGCTTTCCATCACAGAGGATAGTTGGAAAATAATGGAAGTTTCCCTTGTTATGTTATGCTGTGATCTGTATGTTTTTCTTCTTTCCATTTTTTTCAAAATGACAGATTGACACCTGATGCTAGGGGGGTGGAATTAATGTATTTTTCCATATGTTCCAGTCAGCGTGTTTGGATGTCCGGATATGGGTGTATTTTCTATCAGGGAGGCTTTTCACAACACCAGTTACAGCTTCGTCAGTAGTTTATGTTGGGGTGAAATATCTGTGGCCTGCAGTTAGTTATTATCATAATGTAATTAACCAGAATAGACATTAAATCAATTATATTTCCAAGATGACGTCATAATGACTGAGATCTGCAGAATACTGTTAATTTACCTTGAGTGCTTGAGGGCGCAAATAAACAAGTGCAAAAGCTCCAAACAGTATGTGAATGCACCACACGTTCACACACACAATCTCGCAAACAGCCTCTCGAAAAGAGTGGGGACATTTTTGGTAGTCCGACCAACCAACAAAAATTCATAATTTATTTTATATCGAAAGAAATTGGTCGGGAAAAAACGTGTAATCCACCAGGCACTGCTAGACTGGCTGGATATTGAAAGTCTTCAATAATTCATAAGCAATGTTGAAATCACAGCCTTACTCAACATTGATTTTAAAATAAAGCTGGATTTGCAAATCTATAGTCACATAAACTGTTGCAAATATTTAGACCCTCAGCATCACATGATTTTACACACACACACACACACACACACACACACACACACACACACACACACACACACACACACACACACACACACACACACACACACACACACACACCACTAAATCATAATCAGATATAAGTATTTACATAATTTTGGATGAATGTAACAGGATTAAGATTAACATACTAAACACATCCTCTCCTGGATTAGATCATTTCTCCTTCTCTAACTCAATCTCCTCTGGTTCGCTGCATGATGAACTGAGGTGATCTTTTCACATTGAACTTGAATACTGGAAAGTGCTTTACAGTTGTTAGTGAATCACCCGTTCTCATGTCTGTAATGCTGGTCATCTCTGGCCATTTGTTTGGTTTGGATTGTGGGAGGCAGCCACAGTGTTTAACATGCTTTCTCTCTCATTTCAAGGAAGCAATCATTTCAGAGTAAATGACATGGTAAATGGAGATTTTAAGACTTGGATTTCATTGCTACAACATTTTGTTACAGAGGATCATAGTCCACAGAGGATGCATCTTTAGCCCAGTCTTTTTAACTTTAACATCTTTAAACAGATTTGAGTTTCTGCAGTGTAATATCCCAACACTACAACATTACTCTTCTACTGTAAGTGCTTAGGGACGGAATTTAATACAGATCTTCAAGTTTCCTTTAAGAAGTATCATTACTAACTTTGGTGATTTCAAGTACTGATTGACATTTTTTGACAGAATATGGATAATCAATACATCATTTAGCGTCCTTAATTACATGTTCAAAAATCTTGACTTTAATTCAAAACTGCATGTCAATTCTTCCCTAAAGAGAAGAAGGAAGAGTAGAAAATGCAATCCCTTCCTTATCCGGTCTTTTTTTCTTTGGTTCTGCAGCAGGATTTGAGTCAACATCTTGGCAGCCCTCACTAAGCCTGCTGGGAGTCAGGCTGATCTGACATCGTCCACTAATTGGCCGTCCTCGTATTTAAAAAGTGAAAGCTTAAAAGAGTCAGAAGAGGGATAGAATACAGAGAGGATAGTCTATTAATACAACATGTCAGCTCCTGTTGCTGTTGTACTGTACTAACCCTGCAGCAGCAGCACTTGAAGCACGACCTGGTTTAAACATTTAATTAACAAATAAAATATTTGCAAATATGCAATACATTGCAGCCCTACTCCGATCACTAATATATGTAGCAATAGAGTGCCACAGTGACGCGTCCTAAAACCTGGAAGTAAACTCCTTCCGGTTCCTTCCACAAAAAGCAATGCAATTTCTCCATAGGATTTTGGAAAATAGCTCGAAATAAGGTCTGTGGTTGACACACATTGAAGAGACAGAACACGTTTTGTTCAGCCGGATAATATCCACACGTCTACCCTACTTTTATAATTTTCTAATCATAAATCTATCGATTAGATTTATGATTAGAAAATTATGTAAAATGCTAACTTACTTCCGGGTTTTAGGACGCGTCACTGTGGCACTCTATAGGTGTTTCAGTAATGTACAACTTAGTAACATTTCTGATGGTGAAATGAGTGCATTTCAATGGTCCATAGTCATTGGTTTGTATGTGGCTGCTTTAGACTATGAGGGTGAAAAACTTGAAAACACCTGTTGGCTGAGGCTGATGAGAATAAATATTGCTGGAATTATAAACCAAAGTTTAGAACATAATAATTACATATGACATATATTAGGAGCAAATGGTGACCTAATAGTAGCACCAATGAAACTGGCATAAATAAAGTAAGCATCAACCTCAAGCTAGCTATAGTAAGGTGATCCCTATAGTAAAGGGATCACCAAAGTTGTCATGATACATACATTTTTTGCCAATCCAATTAATCCAGCAAGTATAAGTTCGGAGATCCAGGAGATCACCAGAGCCTGTTAGCTTTATCCTCGGAGGAATATGAATTTCAGTACTGAATTGCCATAGCATTTCTTCTTAAAGTTTAGAGTAAAAAATATCGACCCAACAACAGACTACAACATTAAAAAACAAAATATAAAGTAGTTATATTTGTCACAGAAAATGAATCTCATAGCAGCTGTTATGATTTGTTACTTTATATGGAAATAACATAGTTAATTGTGAACCACACCCATATTGGAGGAGTGACTTGTGTCATGTCTGGGTCATGGGATTCTGGCCAAAGTCCTTCCTTCAGTTAACCCTCAAACTCACTGAACTCTCTGAACTGACAACCCTTTAAACTCAAGATGAGATTAAAAAGTGTTTGTATTAAAAGGAACGCAGAGAAATAGGTAGGCAGGCTGGAGGAACATGCTGAGTAAATGTGCTGAGCTTCCCTCCACATATGTCGGTGCTGATCTAAGCCACACCTGCTGCTAACCACGACTCAGAGGAGAGGGGGATAGGCGGCAGAGTGCAGCGTGTTGCAGGCTGAGCAGTCACTGAAGTGAGCGGTCGCTCTGTCACTGCTGCTTCTCTTTCTTTCTCTCCATCTCCTCCTTTTCTCTGCTCTCCTCGACGGAGCTGGTTTTTTTCTACTGTCATCCTGAAGCGATGGTGTAATTAAGCGGGCTCTGTGGGGGCTCTGTGGGAGCTCTGTGGGAGAGGAGCTGCTGTGCATCCTGTAGGATCCTTTTTGCCAATCGCTGACTCTCACTCAGATCTGGAAATAAGTGTAAGGGAACACTCGCTCTGCCACCAGGCAACTGGGGAATCCTCCAAGTGTGAAGTGGGATTTTTGATTTTTTTTCCTGGACTTTGCAGAGTGGAATTCATCGTTTCCATCTCACCACCATTTTTTTGAAAGAACAGTCTGCGGAGGATTTGGTATTTTCAACAAGAAATGATGAGCTGAAGCTACTTGATTCCAGGAAACAGGTGGAATCAGTGGGTTTAAAGCCCCCCACTGCACATTGGGGAGCTCAGCTCAGCCCCCTGCTGAGATCCAGCAGGAGCAGCAAAGACCCGGACAAATTACACACATTACTTCAACCAGATCAGGTGCAAACACATTTGTCTCTTCAATCTGGTAACACCTTCACAGAAGTAGCTGGACCATATGTGAGTTAACAAGGAGTCTTGCTGACTTGTAGCAAGTCATTTCCAACTGGGTGTGAGAGGGGTGGGGGGGAGCGCGTGGTGGTCAGGTGGTCCGGGAGAAGATGCCAGCCATCCTGGTGGCATCAAAGATGAAGTCAGGACTCCCCAAACCCAAACCGGTGCACAGCGCCCTGCCCATCCCCCAGACCCACAGCAAGCCCTCAGCGATAGGTCTGACCTCGACACCACACAAGACCCACATCCCCTCCAGGGGCCAGCAGGTGGGCGCAGGACCCCCGAGGAGCATCACACGAGGGTTTGAGGATGGAGAAGACACTCAGGTCAGGATGTAAAACGATCACCTCCACCCTCTACTGCTTGGTGGTTTTCCACTTTAATCCAATGTTATTTGGTTAGACTGTTAAGCTAAGAACACTCAATCATTACAGAGAACAGTACTTAATGCATGTAGCATCACTGCCTACTTAAACTAGTTAGAGTAGGAGAGAAATCTGTGCAGCCTTTTTGAAGCAGATTTGTGATTTAGAACACTTTGCTGAATTATGATTTATTTTCTCCAAGATCCTGTCTCCCTAAATAGTCTTTTCAGAGTTTGGCAGAAATCTAGAGTATATTCTTTCAATAATATTCAATTTTTACTAATAAGACAATTATATTCTCAATGTAAGCCTCTTTCCGCCCTATTGTGATGTAAATGATGTTTTAGTCAATTTTGTTGAATGATGAAGAAAATCCATATTTCTGAGTTCTCTCGACATGTGAAGACATTTAGTATCTCTCTCAGTCGATATCAGATGGCAGTCACTTCATATTGTGTCAATGTGTGTTTATATTTTCCTGTGCGTCCTGTCATGGTGGCTCTTTGAGTGATAATGTAATTGTAAGTCAATACAGGGAATTTCAGTTTGCAGTTTGGCATAACAGAAACACTATGCCATTTCCAGCTATTTCCTGGTATAAGAAAGCGCATGCTGTGCCTCTGTTGTCCAGGATGGCTGGTAGCAGGATGTCAGGGTGGCTGTTTGCTGTGTTTGTGTGAAATATTGGCTCTTAGCAACCCCACACAAACGGCAGCAGCATGAGAGGGATCGCTCTTAACGCCATGTAAGGCAGTGAGGGGACGAGCTGTCTGTGTGTGTTTGTGTGTTACAGAGCCAGCGTGTGCATGCTTGGCAACCCATCCTTACAGTAAGTGTGACTTGGAGCCACTGAGGCATCCAGCACTCCGTTGTTTAGGGTTCTGGTGTGATGATGATGATGATGAGGATGATGATCATGACCGTGTGAGGAGATAATTCAGTAGCCCAGCGCTGCCGCCGGACACGGCACACGTCCGCTGCCGGTGGCATTTGTTTAGTGGCCAATCACGGTCTCACTGACCTACTTCCATGGCTTTCTCTCCTTCTCTCTCTCTCTCTCTCTCTCTCTCTCTCTCTCTCTCTCTCTCTCTCTCTCTCTCTCTCTCTCTCTCTCTCTCTCTCTCTCTGCCCCTGTGGTGCTGATGATGCAGCCGGCTTCTTCACCCTTGGCTGGGTTAACCCTTCACCTTCCTGGCCAGCGGCAGTGATGTGAAAACTGCAGACATGTACTGAATTCCATCACTGCTCAGTCTCTATCTTGTTTGTGTGTGTGTGTGTGTGTGTGTGTGTGTGTGTGTGTGTGTGTGTGTGTGTGTGTGTGTGTGTGTGTGTGTGTGTGTGTGTGTGTGTGTGTGTGTGTGTGTGTGTGTGTGTGTGTGTGTGTGTGTGTGTGTGTGTGTGTGTGTGTGTGTGTGTGTGTGTGTGTGTGTGTGTGTGTGTGTGTGTGTGTGTGTGTGTGGTGTGTGTGTGTGTGTGTGTGTGTGTGTGTGTGTGTGTGTGTGTGTGGTGTGTGTGGTGTGTGTGTGTGTGTGTGTGTGTGTGTGTGTGTGTGTGTGTGTGTGGTGTGTGTGTGTGTGTGTGTGTGTGTGTGTGTGTGTGTGTGTGTGTGTGTGTGTGTGTGTGTGTGTGTGTGTGTGTGTGTGTGTGTGTTGTCAAGAGAATCACCTTACAAATGCCATTAGTCTTTCGTGGCAAATCGGGTTTTTTTTAACAGCAGGACAGTACATGATGTTGGTCATCTCATGTTATCAGGCAGTACTCCAAAATATGTTGCGCATATCAGGATTGATTGATAAAGTGACAAATATCAATGAACTTGGGCTAGATAAACAGGGGGATATATAATGTTCAGAGTGTGGCAGTCAGAGGCTTTCTGTTGTCCACCTGCTGCTGCAAAAAGAGACCTTGCTTTTGTACGGTCACTTTTGAAAAATGTAGGCCTTGTAACTAATTGTGAATATATCTGCACTTTCTTTGTTGTTCAGAGTTTGAATTTGTATGCTTTTTGCACTTATTGTAAGGCACTTTTGATAAAAGCATCAGCCACATTAAAGGGAGAAAGAAATTCCCTCTTTGCTTAAAAGGAAGCTTTCACAACCAACATACAAAAATATATAACAAATGGTGTCTATCCGCATCGTTTTGCACCAATAAGCTCCTCAGATTGGAAAAAGACAGATTCTCTAATAGTCCATTGTATCCCTATAATACAGCACAGGAGTGTTAGTTGCCTCGTAGCTCAGTTTTATCGTCCTCATTTCTGGAATGTGTCTGCCGGGATCACTCCGGGGACTGAGTGAACTGGAGGAAGGATTTGCTGGCGATGACGCTGAAAGCCTCCGCGCTGCATCTCTGTCAGTGTGGGTCTAACCCGTGGTGGATTTACTGACAGATAGAGAGAGCCTGCTTTATGTTTCTTTCATGGCTTAGGAGACACAATGTGGAGAGAAGTCTGATAATCAGGAATAGTCATTTCACTTAAAACAATCTGGAGCTAAAATGTTGCACCAATTTCAACTATCATACAGGGAGAAAACCCATCATAAGGAGAGGCGAAGAGACAGATTTCAGCACCCACAGTGGCAACAAATAGTTCTGAATCCAGTACAGTCATAGGAGTGGGTTGAGGTCTGACTCATTTCTCTACTAGGAACAGTTGTCCTCTCTGTTGCACTATCTCTGCACTCTTTATCTTCATTTGACCTTTAATGAATCACAGTGGTCTCTTGAGCTCTAAATCTAAATCCAAAATCAAACCAACGCCTAACGAGAAAGGTGAAGAAAAGAGGTATATTTATAAATGGGTATAGAAACCATAGACAAATCAAGGGATGTTTCTTGGGCGTTCTGGGAAATGTAGGACATGCTGTAACGGAGGTAAACAAGGTGAGGTTGAGGATCAGTGTGTACCAAGAAACTTAAACACAAAATACATTAACTGTGACACGGATAACTTCCAACAGCACATGTTTGCCGTAATCTTATAGGATTAGTGGATTCATGCCAGGACGTAGACGAGGCTCCTCTTCTTCACAAAGCTGGACGACCCAGTTGTCACTAAACACACAAACAAGTTATGTACACCTGTCACAAAGGGTTCATATATATATTGCAACGAGAGCAGCAGGAGGCAGAGGGAAACATCCAGGCCATGTTAACCGTGTGCACACTTAGCCTTGTGTTTGTGCGCGTGCGCGTGCATGTGTGAAGTCTGGCACACTGCTGAATTTGATGTGAAGGTGATAGTCTGGAAATGTGTGAATGATATTTGAAGCCATGCGCTGGCGTGTGTGTGTGTGTCTTTCTGTCTGATGTGGGGCACCACATGAAATGAGATGCTGCTCTGACCTTTAACCTTTTGCCATACTGTCATTATAAAAAGACAGAGCAAAGCTTTGAACACATACTCTGCTGCCCTCTAGTGTTTATGTGTTTTCTCTACACCTAATTGTGTGTGTGTGTGTGTGTGTGTGTGTGTGTGTGTGTGTGTGTGTGTGTGTGTGTGTGTGTGTGTGTGTGTGTGTGTGTGTGTGTGTGTGTGTGTGTGTGTGTGTGTGGTGTGTGTGTGTGTGTGTGTGTGTGTGTGTGTGTGTGTGTGTGTGTGTGTGTGTGTGTGTGTGTGTGTGTGTGTGTGTGTGTGTGTGTGTGTGTGTGTGTGTGTGTGTGTGTGTGTGTGTTTCAAGGCCACTGTCTCTGCTTTTCTATTCATCTTTAATGCTTGCGTTTTATCATCGATCACCTTCTCTATTTTTGCGATTATTGTTTTTTTCTTTCTCCCCTTTTTGAAATCCAATACCTCATGGTTGCCAGCTCATTGATCCTTAGCAACATCTTCGAGGAAGAGTAGGTTCAAACGGAGAATCTCTGAAAGCCACATTCAAAGCAGAATGCTATGTGGAGCATGCAGATGCCTTTATACAGTAAGTCGTGAACACAAACAGGAGTGTGGAGTCGCACGCTCAATCAAATATGAGAACACGTGCAGCCACAGAGAGAGATGTGTCCGGGTGCTGGTGTGATAAGGAGCTCCTATCTTAATAAGCATCTTGCCAAATACAGGCTTAAATCATTCTCTGTGTAAAGACTGGCTTCATTAGACTCATTATGAAAGCTCATCCAGGCCTCAGAGCTGAATCCCAATCTCATTAAAGAATAGTGGGACCGGTGGAGAGGGTCTTAGGCCAACTCCGCTCACGAACCAGGATCCACAGTTTAGACAGCCCCCATCACTACTGTGCGATCGATGCATCACTAATGCAGAGTTCCATTTATTCAACTTCCTCCATTCTTGAAGATGTGTAATTGCTCGAGATTTATTTGATAATTAGAATTATTTAAATTGGCAGTAATTTCATTCCAGGAATTGGTTTGACCGTGAACTCACACTACTCAGGTTATGTGTGAACTCATTACATTATGATGGATTCAGAGCTAATTAAATGACCCGAAATGGCAAACTATGGATCAGTGGCGATGGAGGATGGAGATTAAATATATGACTTGATAAATACATTTAGTTAAAACCGAAGAGGAAAACCAGGAATGACATTTCATTTTGTTGACTGGTTACCCATCTATGTACATTTGAACATATGTTTTTATGTCTGTGTTTCCCTTCTAATAAAACAAAAAAATGTTGTTGAAACATTCAGTCAATTTTAAAATATATAATCTTTTTAAATATTACACTTCTATAACTGGACGTGTTGCTATTCTAATTTGTATATCATACATTTAATATATAGAGGGTTTTGATCTGTTGGTGGGACAAAACAAGACGCAATTATTATGAATAACTTAATAATGAATAATAAAATATTTAATATCAGTATCTTCAGTCTTCAAATGTCAGCACTAGGCTTTAATATCTATCTCACTTGACCTGAAGACCCTGAGAAGAGCTCTCTCGTGTCTTGAGCCTCTCCCCTCCTCCCCTTCTCCCCAGCATCCTGTGAGAGGCA